TCTCTCTCTCCCTCCCTCTCTCCCTAAAATCAATGAACCTATCTTTGGGTAAGAATGAAAGGGGAAAAAATCAAATTTTTTAAAATGTGAGGAAAAAATAGAAAAATAATTATACTAAATTTTGAAACATGGTGGCTACCTTGATTCATTACTCTTTGTGATAAAGCTCTAATTTTATTATTCACTTTTTGATTAATCAAATCTTGTCATTTTTTTGCTCCGTTGGTTTGTAATGTGGCCTTTGGGATATAGATTCATTCCTCTTATATTTTCTGGTCCATGTTCTTTTTCACTGGTCAACATACAAAATACAGGTATTTGGTATTCACAATTAACCAGAGAATCAGGGTAATATTTAAGCATTAAAAAAATATGTAAATATCATTCCCTACTTAACATCTCATTACTGTTTAAAATCCAAAATTATTCATATTACTGCTGAGATTTACTTTAAAAATTATTACGTAAGTAGTACATAAATACATTCTTGTATTTAAAAATTTCAAACAATATAAAACTGTAGAGTAAAAAAATCCCATTTCTTTTAGCCCAGTTCTTTCTTTGAAAGGTTATCTTTCTCTCTGTTAATAGATGTGTGATTCTTCCAGATCTTTTCATATATATAAATATGTATACATGCACATGGTTATATATATTACATATACACATATATACATCATACAGAACTATTTGTTTGCATTAATGTCTTAAAACTATACATATTTTCTGCTTTATTTAACTAACAATATGTGTTGGAGACTTTTCCAAGTTAATACATAGAGATCTTCCCCCTTTTTATAGTTGCACAGTATTCATAAGTATGGACATGTCATAATTTATTAATTCTTTATTATTGGACATATTGTTTCTATATTTTGCTGTCACAATTACAAAATGAATATCCTTATACATTTATTTGCGTACATGTGCAATTATTTTTGTTAGATTTTTAGAAGTGGAATTGCTATGGTATATACATATTTTGCATTGACTGTTTCTGGAAGGGGATGCCAGAAACTGCTAATAGTGATTGTCTATGGGGAGGGAACAGGAGGACTGAGGGGGTTGGTTTTAGGAATGAATAGGAGATTTTATTCCAATATACCCTTTTATATTGTGTAATTTTGTTTTCACAATATGCATGTAGTTCATATATATATAACTTCATAAAAAATAGAGTATGCACATTAAAATTTTGACACAGCCAACCCCTGTCCTCAAAAATGTTAATTTACACTATAAACATCCTATGAGAGCATTTAATTTCTAGATTTTACAAAAGTGGAAAACTAAACATAAATGGAACATTAGGACTATGGTGGATCTTTTAATACCCTTTGCAACGATTAAATTATGAGTTTCATTCCTGTTACATGCTTAAGGTATAAAGCAGTGTACGTGTGTGAGGTAGCACAAGATAGCATCGGTGCTAATTCATGCAGATTGCTTAATTTTCCCCAACTACATCCTCAATGTTGTAGGTAAAAATTTAAAACTGAGTTTTAAAAATCCCTTTTAATTGTGTAAATATGTCTCAACCAGTTTTATTGGGCAGTATGACTTAATAATTTCACTCAGGGTTCCTGCACACACCTGCTTCCTGCTTCTCATATGATGAAGGCTAAAGGTTGTTAGATGCTGACAAACCAGTATCCTTTTTCTGTGTATTTGTTGCACATGTTTACTATCTAGCTCATCCCGCTACAATGTAAGTTCCCTTAAGGCAGACTCTTTTCTTGCTTATTGCTATACCCTCCATTCATAGCAAAGAGCAGGTTACAAATAAATACTTGCTGGCTGATTGAATAGGAAATTGGTTAAATAAATGATGCGTTAATACAACAGAATCCTATAAGAATATTAAAAGTGATGCTGTAAATGCACACATTGACATGGAAAATGTTTCATGTCATAATGTACACTTTTTAAAGAGCAGTTTGTTAAAGAGCTATCTGTAATAAAATATTTGTTAGCTTCTCCCTCCCCTATTCAAATATGTGTGTGTGTATAACTATGTATGTACGAGTATCAATGTTAACAATGGTGGTAGAATTAAGGAGGAATTTAAAATGTTTAATTTTTATTACTTCTCTAATAAACATGGACTACTTGAATAATAAGAATTTTTAAAAATTTGGTTGTCACCAGCAAGAGAACAATTCATGGTAGGCTTGACCTGAAAAGTTAAGTGGGGAGGAACAGGGGGCATACAGAGTTGGGGTGGGTCACTTGCAGGTGGATCTCTAAAACTGTGCTACTTTGGGTGTGGTCCACGGATTTACGCCAGTCTCTGAACTGCATGTTTCCTGATGAGATAAATAAATAAACTGACAGTAGTGAGAAACTTTTACAGCAATTTGACATTGTTACACAAACACAAGATCAGTGGGCTTATAGTTTGCATATCTTTATTTTCTTTCTCTAGTAATTCATTTTTATTTTACAAATGGTCTGTAACACATTGGGAATAAATTTTTAAAAGGCTCTTCACCACTGAAAACTGCTCTAAAGTGTAATCTTGGGGTTAGGCCCAGGAATTACATTCAGCTGGTTTCCTGTAATGTCAACAGCATCTGCTTAACCTTCTAGAAACTGGAATCTGTACACTAATACCTGATACCCCTGTATATATGTATATCAGACACCACTTGGAAGGATCTTAATCTTGCTTAAGGATCTTGTTCTTACTGTTGTTTGTCTTCTTGTTTGGACTGGGTTTAGTATGATGGGTGATGGGGATCAGAATCAGAAATTTTAACATTTCATTAATATCACACAGCAATTAAAAAGCATTTAAAATAAATATTGGGGGAATAATACAGTAAGTGACGAAGGAGGCTAAAAATTCTGCATGTTATATTAATGAATGAATTAATGTTGTTTAAGAAACGTGAATGGAATGAACCTTTTACATTTCCAAAGAGCTTTCTAGGCAGATAGAATAGCAAGTGTGAAGGCAATGAAATAGGAAGCTGGAACAGGAAGAAGGCCAGTGTAACTGGAGACTACTAGAGAGAAGAATGGTAAGAGATAAAAGCAGAGATAGCGGGATAACAGATTACATAGTGCCTTCCACTGCAGAAAGTTAGAAGTTTATTTTTAGTGTGATGGGAAGCTACTTGAGTAACTGTTAGACCAGATGAGTAATATCTGACTTGTGTTTAAGTATCACTCTGAAAGGGGGCAAAAGAAAACAAAAAGGCCAAACTATTAATATGGATCAGCCATGAATACCAAACTATATGTCACAATGAGAGTCATGCACCATAATTATATACCCTATGATAAGGACAATGTGAATTTGGATATAACATGATTGGTGACTGGCTCCCATCTCTAAAGCAGGCTTACCCTGGATATTTATTATTTTGGAATAATTCAACCTTACACCGTAAGGAGTTAAAATTTCGGAACCTATTTAGTGTTATGTGGCAGGGTTTTTTTCTTAAATTTGGAAGATGAGGGGCCCTGGCTGGGTGGTTCATTTGCTTGGAGCATACACCAAAAGGTTGTGGGTTTGATTCCTGGTCAGGGCACACACCTAGGTTGTGGGTTTGATGCCCAGCAGAGGGTGTGTATGGGAGGGAATGGATTGATGTTTCTCACATCGGTGTTTCTCTCCCTCTCTCCTCCCTTTCTCTTTAAAAATCAATAAAAACATATCCTCAGGTTAGGGTAAAAAAAAAATTAGGAAGGTGAGGGTGTGTCTACATATATATGTGTGTTGTGGTGGTTTGGTGTGAGAGCAAAATTCTCTTTTTATATTGTAGGAAGTTACATCTAAAGGAAATCAAGAATAAGTAGAGTAACAGGTCACTTAAAATATGGAGGTAAAAAACAAAAGAAGTGCATGTACAATGAAGAAGATAGAGCAGTGAGATAAAAAAGGACAGGAGTATTTTAGCACAAGTAGTCAGAGAAGCCCTCTCTAACGAGGAGTCAGTACCTTTCATGATGCAAACAGGCAATGACAGGAAAGTGGCAGAAGGGAGTTTCAGGCACAGGAACAAAAGATAAAAAAGCCTTGAGATAAGGCACGTAGTGTGTGCAAGTAGCTGAAAGAACGAAAACTGTCACTGGAGCTTAGACAAGAGGCAGAGGAGTCAAAAAAGTAGGCAGCAGTCAGGCTCTAATCATACGGGAAACTGACTGGCATGGTTTGGGTGGTAGACGGAGCTGGCATGTACTGGCTCAGGAAAACCACATTTTAAATTTTTGGGAATTTTGTGAGCTGGTTTTTAAACACAGTCATTATTAAAAATTAAACTTACAATTACCTAAAATAAAGGTAATAAATACTCAAAACTCACCACTTACTACTTTACTATTACAGGGGATCAATATACTCCACTCCAAAAGATGCCATTTTGGCATAAGGATTATTTTGAGCTGAAGACAACTGAGAAACAGCAGATGTAGGAAAAGCTCTCTATTCTGTGTCTAGCTGCCTAAGAGGAGGCGGTAACTTCCCTTTGTGAAGGTGTCCCCCTTTCCTTTCCCATACTGGGAGGAGGAGAACCACCATTATCCCTGGCACTACGGGGGGTCCACACAAACAAATCTCACATAACCCTTATCTTCCATTAGTTTACTCCCAAACCTCTCTTCCTGTGTCTTGTCACTTCACAAACTTACCTCCGTTTGATTAAATGGTATACAGTACTAGCAGCCTCTTTGGGTTTTCACTTCCTTTTCTGTGCGTATGTAAAATTAAAATATTAACATCAAATAAAAATTTTATACCTTTTCTCCCGTTAATCTGTCTTTGGTCAGTTTAATTTGCAGGCTCTAATCACAGGACCTAAGAGAGTAAAGTTTTTTCCTCCCCATCACTGTATTTTACTTATTTTCTTGAGGTTATGCTTATTGCAAGGTTTCTCAACAGTAGCACTAATGATAGTTTGAGCTGGATTCTTTGCTGTGGGGGTTGTCCTATGCATGGTAGGGAGTTTAGCAGAATCTCTGGCCTCTACCCACCACATGCCAGTAGCACAGATGTGAAAACCAACCAAATCTATCTCCAGACATTGCCAAATGTCCTCTGGATAGCAAAGGCACCCACAGTTAAGTACTACTTGCTCTCTGCATATTATCTACTGGCACCTGCGTGGTGGAAACACTGTAACTGCACTACATACAGCACATCTCTTCCCAGTGACTGAGGCCATGATCCTAGCTTGAAATTGGCCAGGGTGGGAATATTTACATCACAGGAATTGGCAAACACCACAAATCAAGGCTTGATTTATTGTTTTGTTGGTTGTCTGGATTTAAGAAAGTAGTGGTGAAAATGTTAACGCACACTAACTTGTATGTCACCATTACATTATGAATAGCACAAAATATTAATGAAATATCCTCCAGTATTCAAAATTATCTGATTCAGAAATGAGTCACTAACATTACTGAGGAATAATTAAATTCCACGCTTTGTGTCAAATGGTGCTGGAGGGTCAACTAAATTGAGAATAAATTAGATTTGTCCAGATAAACTTCCTTCTGACCTTGATAAGTATTGTTTCAGTAGAGTGGCAAGGAAGAAAGCCTGGGGTGTGTTGAGGAAGTGGGCAAGTTGAGAAAGTTAAGTATAGTAACAATTCTTTGGCTGTGCTGCAAGGGAGCATAGATATAGGATGGTTGCCAGATGGTGGGAATGGATGCAAGGGATAATTTTTTTAACATGGGAGACATTGCCCCAGTCAGTTTAGCTAGGTGGTTAGAGCGTTGGCCTGTAGACTGAAGGGTCCCAGGTTTGACTGTGGCCTAGGGCACCTGCCTGGGTTGCAGGTTCGAGCCCCGCCCCTCAGGGCCAGTGTGGGAGGCAACCAATGTGTCTCTCTCACATGGGTGTTTCTCTCTCCCCCTTCCACTCTCCTCCTCTCTCTGAAAAGCAATGGAAAAAATATCCTCAGGTGAGGATTAAAATAATAATAATAATAAAAATAAAGATGGGAGATATTAA